ATATAAACAAAATATCAAAATGAAATCAAACAAATAATCTGCGAGGAAAACAACATCAGAGGCAGTGGCAGAAACAGAAGCCCCACAAATGAAGCGCGTACCATGGAGTACTCGTAAGGGAACTGGAAGCTGTCTTGATTCGTGACTTGCACAGATAGTCGACATGCAGAATACCCTACGTCTGCTCAGTGTGTGGATAGAACGGTGTCGTTGATCTCATACCTTTTTTGTATGTAGGGTATTCGAGGATGTGCTCTCAAATTGTAAATGAAATCAAAGATGCGACTGAAAAAAAAAAAAAAGATACTTTTTCATTGACTCCCCTCTTGACACTCTTGGCACTCCACAGTGGCCATGCCAACAGGCAGCGCCAAGTGAATAGCAACTTGTAGTCATGTACCCCCAGTGTAGCAACAACATCGCGGTATCTCGAACAGCGTATCAGTTGCCACTGCCACTGCCACTGCCACTGCCGCTGCTGTTGTCGCAACGCTGTTTCTGTTTCTGCCGCTGTCGCTGGGGCTCACGCACACGTTTCGCGCTTTTTGCTGTTGTTTCCCCCTGTTCCACCCTACTCCCCTGCTCCAGCGTCATTGGCAGCCATTTTAGCTACCGGTTTTACGCGCCAAAGTCTCCATAACTTTTGCCACATGCCATTCAACGCACATTGTTCGTGCTGCTATGTTGTTGCTGCTGCCGCTGCTGCTGCTGCTGATAGCTTGTCCAACTGCATTGTGGATTCTTCTTAAGGATTGAACATTCAATCATTTCAAGGGTATATTCACTCAACCACTAGCGGTTATAGGCGGCGCACAAAAAGCTCAAAGAAATGCGCAATTATTACATACAGTTTCAGCAGTGTCAGCAGGGAATACTCCACTATAAGATATACATACATATGTATGTAAGTAGATTCTTAAAATGCAGGGTATTGCTGCAGTCGACTCTTCCGTTCATCATCCACTGCTTGCTTATGAATTCCATGCAAGCAGAGCAGAGCAGTCTTCTGTCCAACTGTATGTGACTCGCATGCGATTTTGCTCTGCTCTCTCACTCTCTCTCTCTCTCTCTCTCTCTTTCTTCTGCTCATCATTCTAACTCTCTTTCATTTCATTCTGTTTCGTTTCGCCTTTTTGTGTGGGGGTTTATGTTTGGGCCAAAGTTTGCCATGGCAATGGCCAAGCGCATTATTTGATTATGCAGCTGGAGAGAGAGAGAGAGAGAGAGAGAGAGAGCCTCCCAGAGTGGAGGCTTCTGTGATGCGATCCTTCAACCGAGTTTCCTCTGCCACTTGCATAACATTTTAAGCGGACTTCCCTTTTTGGCTGACCAAAAGCTTTCAGCAGCTTCTACTGCCACTCATTGCTTCCTGCCGTACCGTACCGAACGGAACCATTGCCTTGCCTTGCCTTTCATAAATCATTCATACGGTAGTATTTTTATGCCATTCAATAAGTTGCGTTGCTCTCAATTGCTCTCGCTCTCGTCCTTCCCTCCCTCTCTCCCTCATCTTGGCCTCAAGCACTGCTCCGCCTTGGATAAATTATGCTAATTTCATAGCAGCCTCCCACTCCCACTCCCGCTCCCGCTCCCTCTCTCGGGTTGCTCTTTAATAACTTGACAAATAAAGAAGAGAACTCTCCCTCTCTCTTTGACTGCCTGGCAAGGCGTATAATTTTTGCTAAAGCGCAACAAATTGCTAATTTTCCTTTGCTCTGCCTTCTGCCATCTGCTTCATCTTGGTATTCGTCTTCGCCTATGTTTCTTTTTCTGTTTCTGTTTCTGTCTCTTTTGTAATTTGCATATTTCGTCTTCTTCTTATAAATGTAAAATAATTGTTGAGCAGCAGCAAAAGCAAAAAATAAATGGTAATAAATTCTAGACAAGTAAAGAAAATTGTTGCCTCTGGCTGGACGTCTCCCCAAGGAAGTGCTTGTGTGTGTGTGTGTGTGTGTGTGTGTGTGTGTGTGTGTGTGTATGTTCGGAATCAAACGGTTAACCAATTGAGTTTGTTTAGTATGCCACACGCAGAGCAAGTGTCAGAATGAAGCAAATGTCCTCAGCTGGACATTTATGCAGGTGATTCATAGGCCTTGGCTCTCTCCACACTCTGTACTCTGTACTCTGCACTCTCCACTCTCTTGAAAGGGAAATCCATCAAATGAGCTGCCAACGCGTTGTGCAGTCAATACAAATTGTTAGCTTCCCTTTTTGTACTCTCTCTATCTCCCTCCCGCTCTGTTCCTACAGTTATTTACTTTTCTGGAAGTGTCGGGCGGCGGTGAGGGAAGAGGGGGGGGCAGTGATGGGAAGGCAGGGTAGGGTATATCTGTGAGCATTATTCAATGTTTGCAACGAACGTGCGCAAATTACAAATTCAATGCACGTAGCCGACGGCAAAAGCTTCCAGCCTGAAGCTGCCGCTCTGCCTCTGCCTCTGCCGCTGACGCTGCCTCTGCCCTGTCTCTGTTTACCCAAAGCTCTGCTGCTGCTGCTGCTGCTGCTGCTGCTGTCTCCCTTCCTTCCATCATCAAAGCCCAAGGCAGCAACAACTGTCTCTGCTGCCATCTCCTTCTCGCACCGACGACACATTAAAATAATGTATTTTTAAATTTAACATTAATTGTCGCTGAATGGTTCCTGAATGGGCTGCTACGTAGCCGTTCCTCTGCGGGCCAGGCCCACGTCTCTCCGGCCACGGACTCCTTTCCATTTACCGTTTTCTCGCCGAACCATCACAAGGAGTGCCAGGCAGACAGTCCCCCCCTCCCGTTGGTTCGTCTTTTGCAGTGCATTAAGTCGTCATTTTTTTCGGTAGATTTTCCCCATAAATCGTCTTTGCCTTTGACTCTCGGATGTTAATGTTTTTATATAAGATGCCATGGAGGGGTGCGCATAGGGATGGGGATTGGGCAGGGGGGGGGAAATTTGTTTTTTATGGCTTTTGGCATTTTGCATGCATTAGCGGGTCGCTGGCTGGGTCTCTGTCTCTTTGCTAGAGTGAACATTTTTGATTATATTTGTTAAGCAATTGAAAAATTTTGCATCGCAAAGCAATTAGGCGGAGAGAAGGGAGCTCCGATATGGAAATTGCTTCTCAAAGTGTCGGAAAATGATAGGCGTACAGAGACCGTAGGATTCGAGAGGAATAGGGACAAAAATAATAAACATTTTTCCCAGATTTTCAATGAGCTTGGTCAGTCAATGACCAATAACTCTGTTCCACTTGGGCTCATTCGTTGCATAAATTTCTCATAACAAAACGGATACATGGAGGCATAAATTTTAAAGGAAACTTGTTGGGGAGGGAATACAGAGGAACTGAATGGTCCATCCATAAGGGCTCCTTCAAGCTAAGACAGTTCTTGGCTCAGATCCATCGTTAATCCATCCAATTCTGTGATGAGATTGCCCCTTCACATTGATTGACTTATCATACGAAATCCGCATTTCACAAAGCGATGCCTAAGCCAGATAATTTCCACAACGATTGGCCCCACCAAATGCAGCAATGATCCAGTGATAAGCACAGGCCTGGCACTTGCCCTCGCACTCGCACTCCTCCCCCCCCCACCACCACCACCGTGAATTACTTAACTGTCCATTAAGGAGGCCCAGCTACTGTTGGGCTATAAGTGGCCCTCCGCACCCGCTCTTTACCTACCGCAACCCGCAAACCCGCACCCGCACCCGCAACCCAATTGTCTATGACTTTCATTCGATTTGCCTAACAAGCCATAATCATGTGCTGCTGTATTTAATTACTGCCGTCTGGTCATATTGGAAATTGTCGGGAATGGGGAAAGACGAGGAGCAGGAGAAGGCTGCGAGTGGGGCTGCGAGTGGGGCTGCGGATGGGCTATACGACTTTGGGCCCCGAATTTCGAAAGCTCCATAATGCCAAACACAATTGAGTCATTAAGCCGCAATCTAATTAAGCCCGAAAATGTGAAATGAGCCAAAAGAATGGCCGAAAGTCTCCAATTCTTTTCTGGCCGTCGATTCGGCAAGGAGAGAGGCTTAGAGACAGGGAGAGAGAGAGAGAGAGCGCGCGTTAGGCGAATTAGTTTGGGTCTTGTTCTTTGACTCCACCCCAAGAACGAACCGAACCTGAACTCCAACTCATCCAAAGTCCACACAATTTTTACGGCACTTTAACGTGACCATTTTAGCCAGGCATTTTTGGTGGCCAACAAGATTTATTTCGTGTCTGCTTTCGACCACGTAGGTCATTAAATTGTTTAGAAATCGCGGACGTAAACCCAGCTTCTGCTTCAGCTCCTCCCGAAAGTATCTCAGTTTCCAGGCAAAAGACCCAAGTGCTCAGATGCCCAAAACCCAACCCAAGCCCATGCTGAGGCCACATTTTCAAATGAACCACAAAATGACTATGAAACGGAAGGCACGGCACGGCACGGCACACGCACACTGTGCGTACAGTGGGGCAGGCACTGTTGCCAAGAGCCTAAATATAAATATGATTTTCCATTCGTTTGCTGGGAACAAATTTAAAGATTTATCAGAACAAGTGTATAATTTTCAGGAAATCTGTGTTATTGTTCCATAAATTCCTTACGAATTCTCGCCACAAATTTGTTTCACTAAAATTTGCATTCAAATCGCGTCACAGGGCCCACCGTTCGCGCTATTTCATCGCTTATTTTTTAGGGTTTTCTTCAAGTTTTCCCCCTCGTCCGGTGCGAGCCACGAGAAGTAGATACAGATACAGTTAATGCCACAAATGATGTCTAATGACGGTTTCGCCTTACACGATGAAATTGCCTCCAGACTGACGAAATGGTTGGGGTCCAGGCCGGGGTCTATTTTGGGGCCGGGTAGGGTGTTACCGATAGAGATTTATGTGGTTAATGGATGAATGAACCCCCAGGTTCAAGGTCGCTGTGTTAGTAAATCAATAACAATAATAATATTTTCTTTTTTGTTTTCTTTTTGGTTATTTCTTTTTCTTTTTTTTTTTTTTTTTGTAGGGGTGGACTTACCTTCAACTTTGGCCAGGGCCAGGACGGAGATGGTCTGCAGGGCGGGCACCGCCCAGGCAACCAAATGGAATAAATGCGATTTATTTTCAATTGCCTCGTGGCCCCATTTGAGGCCGGCAGCCAGGAACCAGGCGAACGCGAGGCACGACCACCACGCGAAGGCGGCCATGCAGCAGAAATACAATGCCATGAATAATACGGTGCATGAGGTCGTCTGACGGTGGCCCTGCATCAAACCAAAGGCAAACCGAGATTTTGGTCAATATGAAAAACAAAAATAAGCAACAACATCCACACACACACAGCATATGGAGGTCTGTTTTGTTAAAGGTATATGATATGATGGAACTATGGGGATAGTTCTTCTTAAAGAAGGGTTTCCTCATGTTGTAGATCACACGAAGTAAAGACTTACCATGGATCGTTCACATCTCAGCTATGTTTCATAGATAGATCTGAATGATCCATTGGCTTACGGACCATAATGAATACCATCTGTGTGTGAAAGTTCTCTGCCAGGGGTTAGGGGGGGGGGCTCTGCCTTCGTGTCATCTTACCTGGGTTATGGTGGACATCATCTGCAGGCGTCCGAGCTTGACTGGCGGCGGAAATGGTTCGCGGCACGACACGGAGTCGCCCGCTCCGAGGCCGGCCACATAGGCACATCCGACGACCAGATAGCAGACGGCCAGAAAGACGATGGCCCGCTCGGGGTAGCGAAAGCGCGACGAGTCGATCAGGAAGGTGAGCACCTGGCAGGAGGAGAATGGAATAAAAAGAAGGAGAATGCAACATATTAAATATGAATTTAGATTTAATTATGTTTGCCTTAATTAACCCAAGAGATTGTTCTTTGAGTATCTCTTAAAATCGCATTAGTCGGTCTCTTGTCGCTGGACCTATTAAGGATCTTCGCGACTCTGCCCTGGTCATTAGGCACTACACATTAGCTGATTGTGATTGCGATTGTTGTGGCATTAACTCGCAAGAGGGTCTCATTTTGCTTCTCCTTTGGGGTTGGTGTTGGCCTTAATGAATATGGCCAAAAAATTCCTTAGCTGGAATGGGTCTCTGAGGTGGAGATGGGCCCCAAAAAAACGTCTTTAATCTGTTGTCTTTGGTACACCCAATGCCGATGGTTTCTGCGAAACCTACAATTTCCTACACTTCCGTCTTCAAGTGGGGGAAAACTCTTCTACTATTGCGATTTTCCTCTCAAGTTTTTCGTGTGTGGGTGTGGCACAAACAAAAGTCTCCCAACTTGAGGAAACTTCACCCACAGATGTCTCTCTTTCCCTCTTTCGGGCCGCCCACTGACGCATCATTTGTGGGCGTGTCCGGGGCAAATGTTTTTGCAACATTTTCAGCTGATTTCGTTTCATTTGTATCTGGTCACACCTACAAAAGCCCCTCCGATGCGTGGCACAACAAATTGCTAGACGGCCAGAGGTAGTGAGACGAGGGATGGGGACGAGGGATGGGGAGATGCGACAGGAACTCCCCACCCACCCCCTTTTTTTGTTGACTGTTTTTGCAGCTTGGCATAAATAAACAATTCAATTCAATTTCTCAGCTTTTCTCTGTCTGTCGACAAAACGAGTTACAAAATGAAGTGACTCACTGGCACCCCACACCCCACACCCCACACCTACCCCCCACCGCACCCCTTCACTTACCATATATGTAAATGATGAGAGGGGGAAGGAAAGGGGTTACGTAGGTGGAAATTAGATGTAAGCTGGCTAAGAGAACTATAATTTCGGAGGAGAAAAACGATTTCCAAATGAATAAATTTCCGAGAGTCTGAGAAGTGCGTTGCTGCAGCCATGAATTATTCAAAAGGTCTAGTCGTGGTAACAATAATACTCGCCACATTAATGCAAGGCCAACAACACACACACACACACACATGGGAGTGCGAGTGCGTATGCTGAACTCCATTTTGGCCCGAAAAACCCAACTGTTTCTCTCAGTTCGAGTTTTGTTCGAATTAAATGACTTTTTGGGGGGGGGTTTTCGGGGATCTGCTGCTCGTAGACAAAGGACCTACCGCCTTGGCCTGGCTTAGTGGGTGGGGCATGATAATGAATTTGTTTCAATGGCGCGTAATAAGATATGGAGTGAAGAACCTCTGACCTCTCTTTGTGCCTGATGTGTGTGTGTGTGTGTGGATTTTAATTGCTTTAAAGCCTTCAAGAATTGTCAACCATCATGGTGCGGGTCATGCTCTGGATGAATAACAGCTTTGAATCCACCCCAAAAAACGAGGGGGAACGTTGTGTGTTGCTGTTGCGACCGCAACTCTACATTTGTACACGATCCCACTGCGTCGATCCGATCGAGACGCTACGCTCTTGCTTGGATCTGTACAAACGCTATGAGCTGGGATATGTCGTCGATTGATGTTGATAATGGATAGACATCTCAAAAAGCTACTCCTTACCCCTCCGACCGATAGGGAGAACTCCTAACCCATTTTTCTACCTTCACAGATGGCTGGCTCTTGGCTGGATGCCTCGGCCAAGGTCTACATCGATGCATTGCGTATGTCGGCGGTTTTGAATGCTCGCACCTCGACGGGCTTGCCTGAGGGACCTCCAGGTGATATCGAAGGTGGCGCAGGGGGCACCTAAGCCCAAAAGGAACTTATCGACGTTGGCAAAGAACAAGGAAACTTTGATTTTTGGAAAGCTCAATTCGACGGTGGGCTACCTCGATGCCGAGGAGACGGATGAGCTCATGGACAGTGAAACGTTGAGTGCCGGCGCCCAGGAGTGGCCCAATGAAGCGTTATGCACTGTGGGATGTCTGGACCACATGGATATTCCAAATCTGCGGCCACTCCACACGGACCCGGGGACTCGGGGTGCCCCCAATCCCAAGCCACAGTCGGGATCTATGCTGAGAAGCTGGATAAGGCGGACGATTTTGGAGGTCCCTCAGGTGACAAGAATGCCGAGTGTGAACCCATGCTGGATATGGAAGCAGGTCCTCCCATTATCCTAGATATACAATCGAATGATTTGCAGGAGATCACCGCTGCGGAGCAGACGGCCGATATAGAGCTCTTTGACAAGTAATCAGTAGTAATTTTAAATACATTTTCATGTCACAAAACATACAAAAAACTAAACGAAACGAAGCAGGGCTCTTCTCCAATTCCATCTCTCAAGTCCTAAGATTTACAACAATAGAAATGTTTTTGAACCTTTTTTTTGGATTTGTTGTAGGTGGAACTATATCTTCAACCCACTACAGCGGAGGCGTTTGTGTGAAATACTTCATAATTATTTGTTTTAACCAGTAATTGAGATTAGTTTACAATCTACGCACCAGAAGACGCCACGGGATAACTCTAATATACCCCTAATATATCGGGTATAAAACACACAAAATAATAACCTCCTCAACGCCTTCGTTTAGGCTTCCTTCAACTCTGAATAAATTATTTCGCTAGCACAGAGCCTTTCACGGTCAACAGAAACCAAAAGAAAAAGAGGGGGGAAAAAAACAAATTTTATTTCAATTTTTAGCGCTCATAAATTTCCTCGGCTTGGGTCATTAAAATCAGCCCAAAAACTAAAGTGGTTACACCCACCTCCGCGGCAGCCCCTCCCCCTCCCCCCGCCCCACCATCTCCACCCACAGCTGAGGAGTGTTGAAAACTAAAAGCCACAGAAAAGCTTTGAGAGCTTTGCCAGCGGTTGGCAGTTTTTGAATTTTGCATAAATTAGATTTAACTCAACTGACAAAAAAAAAAAAAAAAAAAAATACTTTGAACAAAAATTGCATAAATTTGCATAGGAAAACAGCATCAGCAATGGGATAGTTTTTATTGTTTTTAGTCGGGTCTAGTCGAGGGCGGGGCGGGGCCGGGGGCGGGGCGGATCGTCTATTAGAACAACTAACTATTAACATAAACATTTCAGTCAGGTTGGGGGCAGCGACAGCGGCAGCGACAGCGAATGTGGCATAAATTTGTGGTAAATGTTTGAGGTTTTTGTGCGAGTATTTGCTGTCTCTGACAGTTTTGACGTTTATGGAATATACATTTCAATAATTAAAAATTACGAGTACGCGAGCCTATTTAATAACTATTATTAATCGTTTCAGGGGAGAGCACACGCCAAATGTTAAAACCTGAATGCAAACATCACAAAAAGAGCTTTGGTTTAGATTAAATTATTATATATATTTAAAAAAATATCTAGAGTGAAAAATGTATCAACATTGAAGCCTTTAAAGACCCTGTAGAGCCCGAAAAGGCTTCCTGCTATTCAGCTGTCGGCGGGCTGTGTGTATTTGGATATCCGACAGATGTACATACATGTGTCTATATATTGAAATATGCGGCTCGATGAACTGCATTCGGTTTGCCCGTGTACTACTCGTAGTTTTCAATTGAAGGTCCCCTGTTCACAGGTTTTGTAATTAAGGAAAAGTCATCAAAGTCAGCAACGAACATCCTCATCCACTATGTCCCTGCCCCCTGCCCCCAGCCCCCTGCCCCCTGCCGCTGCTCAGCTATCAAGCCATTTTCCTCCACCCAAACACACACATTGTCATTTCCTCTTTTCGCTTTTCATTGAAAAACAAATGTCAAGTCAGAGAGAGAGAGGGAGAGAGGGAGAGAGAGGGAGACACAGTCTGCACGTCAGGCAGAGTCATTGTCTCATCTCATCTAATGCGTTTAATGAAAAAGGTGTTGATTGTTGACAGTTGATGTGACACACTCCCACCTCCTCACCCCCAGCAGCCACCCCCTCACCGCATGGCAATAAGTTTTCCCTTCAGAAATTTCCTGACACTTTTACCTGGCTCCATTCTGACATTCGGAGCCCTCAACTTGAGACAAAAGTTTCTGGGGCGAAAATATTTTTGTTTTAGTTTTAGTTTCGCGAAAATTGAAATAAAATTTGTTTGCTTATAATTTCTGTTGATAGTGGAAATGTAAAGCCCCCAAAGGTCTTACCCGGGCCGCTGTCAGTGGAAAATTGGTTGGCGAATATGCTGAGAGAGGAGAATGCTTTCTTTCATTTGGTTTTAAGATACTTTTATCCGAATATATCTCTTTAAAATTCTTGAATTTACTTCATTTAAACTTAAATTTATTTTTGAGAATTTTTGTTAAATTTTCTCTGGAAAATTTTAAACAAAAATCTGTATTCTTTAACAATCACTTCCATACCAATTTCCAGACCCATTCATTTAGTTGATCCTTATGCTGAAGGATGAGAATGCTTTCTTTCATTTGGTTTAAAGGCACTTTTATCCGAATATATTTCTTTAAAATTCTTGAATTTACTTCATTTAAATTTCAATATATTTTAGCAATTTTTGTTCAATTTTCTCAAAATCCGTTTTCAAAAATTTTTAGTAAAATTTTAAACAAAAATCTGTATTCTTTAACAATCATTTCCATACCAATTTTCATACCCATTCATTTAGTCGAGCACTTTATTTATTGAATACCAAATGCCCAGAAATGTCACAACTAAATCTGAATAAATGCGAAGTATTTCAAGTACAAAGGCAAACAATCATCGAGTATTTTACCCGCTTTTCCCGCCCTTTCCCCCTTTCCGACAACCTCTAAGCTTGAACTGCAATTTTCTAATGCTTTCTCATGTGTCATATATTTTTTTTTACTATTGCCATTTTTATTGACATATTTTTGTGGCATTGCAGTTTTTCTATAGAGACAGAGACGGGGGAGAGAAAGTTTATTAAAATCAACAAACAGACAACAAACATAACCCACATTTCATGGGGAATTTATTGAGATGTATTGACTACAATTCGCAGGGGCATCAAAAATATAAGCATACGAAAATATACATACATCTGAAAGCATCTGAAAGCAAAATGGAAAATGGAAAATGGAGGAGGAATCAAAATGAAAACCATTCACATATTTAGCTTGTGGGAGGGGGGCGGAATATTTGTGGTTTTCCAAGGGAAAATCTTAAAGGGATCCTTAAAGGCCAGACACTTTTCGGGGTTTTCTTTCATTTTGTGATTAAAAACCAAATTAAATCTGGTTTGTCTCGTGAAGAACCCTCCATAAATAGCTTCAAATGCACTGATTTCGATGAATTGCAATCAATCAGTAAATCCAGCACAGAAATTGAAATAAATAGAAAAAAAAAAGAAATAATCAAATCAGTGGAAATGTTGCAGTTGACTAAATAACAGCGAATAAAGGGAAGGGGAAAGGGAAATGGTAATGGAAAGGGAAAGCATAGAGAAAATTTGCATGAACTCAGCTCCGTCTGGACTGATGGATGCGTGGAAAATGCAAAATGTTTCAGCCAGGGCAAAAAAAAAAAAAATTACAAAATAAATATACGACGAATGAGAACGAGAATGAAAATGGGAATGGGAATGGGAATGAACACTCGGAGAGAACATAATCATAATCGTAAAAAGTAAGTAGAATGAGCAGGCAAATGAAAAACCTCTCTCTCTGCTTTTTCCCCCTTTTTGGGAAAACAATTTTGAAATTTGCATAGAATTTGTTGCTGTTGTTGTTGTTGCTGTTGTTATTCTTCTTCTGGATTGCACTGATATGCCACGCCCTCGCACGGTGTGGGCAGGATCTGGCGCTGACAATGGGCGACAAATTATATGCAATGACAAAAATGTATCGCAGTGGAGAACGGAGAACGGAGAACGGAGAGGGGAGAGGGGAGAGAGTGGTGGTGGGTGAAAAAACCAGAGACAGCATGCAAAAACATGTCGCCATGTGAGTGACACTGTCCCCCAGGGGGTGGCCCGCCCCTAGACCCTAGACCTCTGCAGGGCTTGATGGATGTAGCACAACTTTATGACGTGTGTGTGTCACTCAGAGTCCTTGGTAGCTGGAAGCTGGGGCCTCTCCCGCTTTGATAGATGTTCTTTTTTGGGTCCCCCTCGCCTGCCGATGGCTGGTCCGTGTGATTACTTGGGAATTGTTAGCATTGGAGCAGGTTCGGTCTCCCCGTTTTGGTTGCTTTCGATTCGAGGGCCTGTCGTGTGCCTGCTTCGGAGCAGACCCCACAACTAAATTGATTTTTTATTCCAACTTATGGTCCTTTTCCTGAACATGATGGATATACGTAAAAAAGGTAACAAATATTAGCATGGGGGGGGGGGAGGGAGGGAAAATGGGGAAAATGCTTTGCTAACAAGTTGATTTCCATACGCTCAAGTAAAGTGACAGATCAGAGAGGAGGGAGGGGCAGGAGGGAAGGAAGAGAGCTTCCTCCACAGGACCTTTCACATGATGAATAGAGTTCCAGCGAGACGAGACGAGACGAGACGAGATAATTAGACAACGAAAATTGATTGATTTATGGTTATTGGAAACGAAAGAGAAGGCAGGCATAAATATTGTTTAAACTGTTCGAAATGAATGGATATTTTATGGTAAACGGCTGCCACTGGAATTGAGTTGCCAGAATGCCAAAGAAGGACCTTGTACGAAGAGTATTACCAATGAATTATGGCGTCCCATCTATCGAAGGACTGTCCATCCTGTTCGACTGCTTGGCAACAATCCGTAATCCCTATCTTTGAACCCTTAAAGAGGGTCCCCCACTTGAAGGCTATCCACATTCCTCGAAAGCGAATAAAACACCGCGTATTACTATGCGGGAACTATTTCCAATATTAGTTTGGAGGCCATCTATGCTCGGGGCGAGTCAAAGGAATGGGAGACATTGAGGCATGTCAGGACATTCCGGAATATCAAAGGGCAATTCTAATAATATTTGAAATTTACTTTTCTTCTCTGGTATTTGTCCTTCCATCTATGGATACATTCAACCACCCACCCACCCAGCCAGCCCGCCAGCCATTCTGCCGTGCTCGGCTGCCCCACCTCCGCTGTCAAGGTAGCATCCTCCTTGCCAAGACCGCCGCAGGGTGCCGAGAGGAGGGATGTGCGCTGGCGCTGGCTTCTGCATATGTTTTGCCAAGTTTATTGAAAAATATGCACTGACAGGTAATATGTCAAAGCGTGGGATTTGCCAAAGTGCCAAACGACCTCGTCCCGGCTACCTCTCGCCACCCATCGCTGTACCCCTTAATAATAGACTTGCTGGAGGAGAAGAGCATCAGGATTCAGTCGTTTTTACGTGGGGAAAGATGTTTGCTTTCAGCTCTACTTAAAGAAAATATGGCAGCACTCAGCAAAGGATAACAAAGGTGGATGGCTGGCTGGGTGGCTGCTTGGGTGGGTGGCTGGCTGGCAGCAGGAAGACGTAAATGGAGGGTAGCCGAAGGCCCCTATGGTACAATATCTTATATCATATGATTCTCAACGGAAGCATCGGATCAAAAACTTACTGTGAAAAGGCAGCTCGCCACGCAGACTGCCGCCCAGGATCCCACCCAGTAGCGGAGAACGGTCCGCTCTCTCTCCGGGAAGAACATGGCATGGCATGGGGCCCCGCAGTCATGGAGATCCTGCGGAGGAATAAAGGAGATACAAATGATTAAATTGCTATGGGCGTAAAGGGAAGCCCACAAAGAGGCAAATTCATTTGCTGGCAGCGATTAATTAATAAGGCTTAAATTAAATGTGGGCAAAATGGGATTGTGGGTTGTAATTAAAGGGGATTAAAGGAGGAGACTTATGGAAAACGAATATGAATGAGTGGCCTGGCTTGCCGTGGAGGGGAGTGGAGGGGAGTGGATTGGAGTGGGCTAATGTAATGAGGGCAAGCGATGTGTACACAAACTTAAGGGATAGAGAGTTACAGACAAACAATTTGTAGATTATTCCATTTTTATATGGAAAGATTCATATTTGAGCCCTGCCTGCAGAGGCAGCCGAATCAATTCGGATTCGTGGACTGAACGAACCGGTATCGTAGCCTTTATTGTGTCAGATCCGAAAATTTCGGTGCTTTTTCTCGCTCACTCTGTATGGTATTTACTGCAGATTCGGAGCAATCCGAATTACAGCATCACATGTAATATATGGATTACAGAACTTACAGATCTATAAGTAAATACCTAGAAAAGTATCCTAAGCACGCCTCAGTTGTATCTTAGTTTTTTTAAGAATAAAGAAATTGTTTGGATTGGAAGCTTTTCATAAATTTCAATTTAATTAATCTGTCTTGCATTTTTTTATTGCCAAAAATATTGACTCGAAATGTAACGAAAATATTAGCATAAATATTGAGATATATTCGAATATATTTACCACTTTCAGGGTGGAATCAGCACAGAAATGTCACCAGGGACTCGTCTACGACTGCAACCCTCAGCGGCGTCAAAAATCTCATCGCAATAACTGCAGTTTAATGAGATTTGTCCGAAACAGGGGCCCGGGACCCGGGACCAGGGACTCGGGTCAACCTTGAACTCCAAAAACTGAAGGCGAAATCAACCCCCACAAAATTGCATTACGAAGTGTGGCAACAATGCAAACGGACAAGCAGCAACAACAACAACAACAACAACAACAGACAGACGCCCCAAGGCTCTGCTCGTTCTGTGGCAGAGAGAAGAGAGAAAAAGCGGAGTTGTTCTCTTCTGGTGGCGCATTGTAAACCGCAAAAGATTTGAATTTTAGATAGCTCGACTCGACACGCACACACACACTCGCACACACACACACACACACGCAGGCAGGCAGGCAGGCGGCTGGCAAGCGAAAACAATTCGTGAAAGGAAGAGAAAAGAAGAGGCAAGCAGACGAAGTAGTCGAGGCTTGAGATACCCTGCAAAAGGAACAAAATAGAGGGCTTATGGACATAAATCCGACACCATTTCGAGGGTAACTTTTTATAAATAATAATTCCTTTTTTTTTAACTCAACAACACCTTGCGGTCTCAGACAAACAGCTGACGCAGCCCGATTTTGCCACATAACAGAGCATGTTGTGCGCTTAACAGCACCAAATGTGCGCTTTACAGCACTAACTTGTGGACAAAAATATGCGAAAACGCGAGCACCTAAAAACGAAAAGGAAACTTTTCGCACAAAACGCCAAATTTGCGGGAAATATATTTAATCGGAATAAGAAAATATTTAACTTGAATGTAATATGTTGTTTTAAATACATGTGCAAATTTCAATAGAATAATCTCATATTAATGTCAAAATACAAGCGAAAGCACTTTCCTCTCGAGGCAAATCTATTTGAAGTGCAAATATTCAGATTTCAGAAACGCAGGAGCAGGCTCTGCTGGGTATCACAATTTCTTGCATGGCAGCAGGCAGCAGGCAGCAGGCAGGAGAGCGGGGAAGAGTCGTTCAAACTCGGGCTGACAGTGACTGCAGGTTCTTTCCTCCCCGCCCCTGTGGCTGAGAGAAAGCAGAGCAACAGAAGCCGTCGTCAGTCTCTCTGTCAAAGAGCAAACTCCACCAAAAAGTGTTATCTGCCCCTGTCTGTCGTCTTCGTATTCGTTCTCGTTCTCGTCCCTGTCTGGGCACTGGGACTTATTTCAAATTCCCATTAAAAATTTAAAATCCTCCCCCCCTACGGCTTTCCGTGGGCATCGTTTTTGGCAATCATCGTTAGGTTAGCGGCGCAAATTGCGTTTTTTTCTCCAAGGGAGAGAGCAAAAGGGATGCCAACAGCCAATGGTAATGTTATACGGAGAGTTCAGAGAACAGAGACTGCTGGGGGAACAATATTTACGCATATTTGAGACGCATAAAGCAACAGATCCGCAACAATAACATAAAGCCTGGCGAAGAAAGAGAGAGCCCTGCCTGGCTGGGGAGAAGGACTGTGACTGCGACTGCGACTGGGACTGGGACTGGAACTGGGGCTCGGTACTCCTCTAAATTGCCCGCAGTTTTTTTTTTTTGTTGTCTGTAGTCCATGGAAAAGTAGCCACATTTATCTGAAATTATCCTTCAAGCTTAAGCTTCCTGCCAAGCCAAGGCAGCGTTGAAAATTTAAATTTTAATGAACTCATTTTGAGGGATTGGCAGGGCCAAGTGGCAGGCGGCAGGCGGCAAGACAATTGGGCCAATTCAACTTTAGCTTTAAGGGCGGGGTGGGGGTGGGGGGGGTGTACTTATCGTTATCAAAAATCTATTCAAGTCCCCCAGCGAACAGCTGGAACTGCCAGTCCGCTCTCAACGAAATTTCTATGGAAAATTCCTAGTACTTTCCCCACAGCCATGGCTGATGCATCAGTTTATAGGTCCATATGGGTATTTATCATGCTCGAATCCATTCGCAACGATCGCTTCCTGTTCCACTGATCCATCGATCTATCTTTATTACCAAACCAAAATCAAACAGACGGCCTCTTCTGTGGGTAATTGTAGTGTGGACTCCCCCCAGCCAGCCCTTAGTACCTCGGCTTACAAGAGAATGCCCCAAGAGCAACCATCGACAGCAACAACAACAACTAGTTGCAACATTGACCACAACAAAAGGAGTCCAGAGACTGCATTGTTAGGCCCAAGTCGGAGTGGACTCCAAGTTGTTTTTGGTGCTGTCCCTTTTCGGCCTGATCTGGTCTGGGCCTCTGCCTGGAGTCTAGGGTCTGGGGTCTGGGGTCTGGGGTCTGGGGGCTTGGGACTCTGGTCCCAGTCTGGGGTCCCATTGTCTTGCGATTTTTATGAGGCATGTATAAATAATTGCGCCCAAAGGCCGCCGACATAAGTTTTCATGCCGGCCGCGTGAGCATCCGACCAGGAGCAGCAACAAAGGCCGGACAACCGACCAAAATGCCCTCAAACCGAGTATATACCAGTCCCTGTCCCCCACTCCCCTGGTCCCGCCTAGTCCAAAGTGGCAATTCTACAAGAACAAAACAATATAAAAATAATGTTTCAGTTTTTGTATTTTTGGCTGGAGGCCACAAATATAATGCAACAAAAAAGATGGCAGACAATGGACCAAAGGGGGTGGGACTCCGAGGCGGGGGAAGACCGGTATGGAGGAGGAGAGAGACCGTTGAGGAATAAACGAAGTTTTGCCAACATTTAAGGAGTTTTTAATTTATTGCAGATACATTTTATGCCCAGCGCGAGTTATGAAAGGCCAAAGGGCAAGAGAGGTACAGCAGGGAAGGGGAGAAGAGGGCAGGGGAGAAGAGAAGAGAACTCTTCCAGCTGGCCGTTGTTTGAGTTGGGGGCGTGTTGATGATGATGGTGGAGATGCTGCAAATTATTAAGAGTCGAAGCGTTGAGGCAGCGGAAGAGCCAGTCATCCTGTGGGATACAGTGGAACGAAATGGAATGAATGGGGGCACAAAAGACGAAGGAATCACGGAGAGAATCTGTACGGATCATTGAAACGAGGTTCATTTGAATGGGAAATACCCGTAGACCCGGCCTTCCTCCGTAAACACTCTTCCCCATCTGTTGGTGTCCGTTATTATCTGTAGATTCCACTGTCCGGCAACAGCCGAACACCTTATTCGAACGCACTTCAGTTTTAGCCTTCAGTTTCAGACCGATGCCCCCCTCATGCCAACCCCTCTTGACTGCTCAGACAACCCTCGGACAGCGTTAATGATGACTCTGACTACCCCTCCCCCCACCCCCCTGGACGATGTACGAGTATATGCATGTTTCTGCGTATTTTTGGGGGTGTTGCTGACGTTGTTAAAGTCAAAATAGACAGGGCAACAGACAGCACCGTAAAGAGACTAGCAACAACACACAGAAAGAGACAGAGTGGGATAGAGAGAGAGAGATGTAGTAATAGAGAGAATTGGATTGTCCTAAGGGTTGATTTGAGCAGGATGGAACAGGCATAGCCGGCCGATTGAAAGGCCCAAAAGGACAAGCTGTCAACTGTTGTTGTTGTTCTCTCTCTCTCTGTCTCTCTTTTCTCTTTTCTGTTATTCTTCTTCTTTCCTTTTCCTCTTGAAACACAAACAAAGCAGAAGAAGAAAACCCCAGACAGACACGGACACAGACACAGACAAAAAAAAACAACAATTTGAATTCAATAAGGATGCGACGAAAGAGAAGGAGTAGAATACCAGGAAGTGCTACCCGCCGGACCCCAAGTCGGGTCAAAAGTTCAAATGGACACACACACACACACACACAGACACACACAAAACAATAATAATAATACCCGTAAAAAGGAGTCAAAGAGTCAACAAGCACTTTTCACACATTTTCTTGCCTGACCGCAACACAATGCTCAAAATTTCTGCCCCCCATAATTTATTAATATTATTGGTCGGTGTCGGGGTCACCAACAGCACCTCCCTGACCCCTTCCCGTTGCCTACAAAAGGCCCCGCAAATTACACATGTCGACACTTTATTAAAAGCCAAACCAAAGGCAGACAAAAAAGGGTTTTAAGGATTCCGATTCGATATTGGAGGATTTCTCCTCCTCGAATCCCCTTTTTTTTTATGCGAACATTTTTTGCGGTCTGCCAAAAACGAAACTGATCCCGGGGCTATAAAATGTCGACCCGTCCATATGTTAGCCGGGTCTCGGAAAGCGGAAGGGGAGCAGAGGATTGGCA